AGGCTTCATCTTGTCATGCCGGCTTTTTGCGTTCCTTTAATCCTGTAGCACAAAGAAGTCTCAGAAATAATTATTTTCAGAAAATTGTGCCTATTTGGATATCTGAACATTTCATACACTCTAGAAATTTCTATCATAGTTATTTTTTGGTTGATTAAAATTTTCTTATATCCATCAGTGTTTAAGGTTTTAAAAAAGTGTAAAAAAAGAATTAAACTTTAAATTTTCGTGAGTTAAAATATTATAATATATAAGAAGTGAATTCTTAAATTAATTTTAACTTTTTTGCTAATATTTAGAATAGAATATAACTATTTGAAAATTAAAAACTATGAAATTCACAATTCATTAAACTACCTTTTATATTTTTTTAAAAAAATTCTTGCTACGGGGGCGTGAATGGTAATTTTTTCCCCTCTCTTACCCACGTTGATTATGTGCCAGAGCCCTTTAATATTTTCTAAAATTTGCTATGGGGGTTGCATGTATCTCTATAACGCTTCAACCAAGAGTTTCAAAGAAATTAGTGGCCAAAAAGGCGATATAAATGACAAAAAAAATTATAGTAAAAAGGGTTGAAAAGACTGCTGACAAATCAAAAACGTTTAATTAAATACAATCAGAACTAAAACCTATACTGGGCAAAATTTGCGTGGTAGTCAAACAAAGAAACCAATCAAAATGATAAAAATTAGTGACAACAGTAATATAAACTTATATAAAAAGAAGGTAATCAATAATAACTAATTTTTTTAAAGATGCGTAAATAAGGACTCTGCAAGGATAATAATGTCTGCTTATGACTTTTTTTAAATAAGGGAGGAAATTTGGATAAAAAATCTTAGTTAAAATCAAATTCAATAGCTCGGAGAGTTAAATAAAATGTGAATTACAAGTTACCCGTGCACCATTCTATACCAATGAGAATTTTATGATGGAGTATAAATCCGAAGTCTTTGTTCGGCAGATATTGATACCCATGTGGGCATTGAGTGGATATAAGGATCTAAATTATCCCCACATAAAAAGTGTCCTACGATAATAATCAACTAAACCCTGCTGAACTAAACCCAGTGTGACAAAAAATCTGGCTTTGATTTACTGTGGATTGATCTCTAAAAACAGGAATACGCAATATTTTAACCCATAAATATAGATGTGCATATCAGATTATAGTTCCATTGCCTATCCCATAAATACCCAGGACATTCTCATAAAGGATCTTTAAATTTAAATTGGCTGACATCTCACACATACTACCATTGCTATTTTATGGTCTTTTTGAAACTAAATCGAATCATCTCAGGTTGGCACAGATCGACTAAAGATACTAAACTAGAAACAAGTGCTAGTAAGCGGAGATCGTATTTGCGCAGATTCACATATCAATAAACTAAATCTGCTAAAGGATAATTTCAAGGTCTAAAAATTCGTTGATCTTAGAAAAATAATATCATCAGTTACATATAGTATAACATAGAAAGCTCTTTACCATAATTATAATAATTATTCTTCAGGATATTTGTAGATATCCAGAATAGTTTTAGGATTGGTGCTATCTCCTTTAATTTTTTAACATTTCATACATGGTCTCATGAAGGATAAATAATGTAGGATGGTTTATGAATGGCCCGATACATATACTCGTTATATCACTATATCTGATATTTTTTTTATAAATTTTTAAAACTATTTAATACATCTTATATTATTTGAATTCATAGAATTAAATATTCACATAAAGAAATCACTAATATCCTTTTTTTTCGGAATACTTTAAAAATATACAAATGAACAACACTATTGGAATTAATAAATAAAAAGTAACTAAACAATTAGAACATATTAGGAGATCAAAAATTGGTAATCCAAGGATTAAATTTTTATCTTTTGAAGACTCGGTGTGAATATTAGGTTGGTGGGCTTTTAAAAACTCCTAATTTTAATCTTAAAAAAATTATAAAATAGAATTATATTTAAAATGTGGGTGGTTAATAAGCAGTTTATAATATGGAATTGGCGATATTAGTAATGCTGTAAACATTTAAAAAAAATAAATTTGTTTATTTGTCAATCACTAACAAAAATCGAATACTTCAAGTTAACTAATTACAAAAAAAGGAAATCATAAATAATTAAGAATCTTACAACAAATATATCCCACCATCAATTCGCAAGACATCACAGGAGGTTCATTACCCACCGCATAAGAGCTGACAAAAGACTGTTCATTGCTAACTTATCGAATTCTATCCAATTCAATTTTGATAATAATAATATTTATAAGGCCTTCCAATCTCTAAAACTACTAACCACCTTTAAAACCAATCCTTTACCAAGACTACAATTAAACAACAAGATTATAACTGACCCTAAGGAACAATTAGACTTATGGATAGACCACTACATGAACCTCTACAAAACGAGATGGCCTAGACCTAGATGTGACTACCCCTTCCAATCACCCAATCAGAATTTGAACAAGTCTGATATAGTCGGTGCCATCAAATGTCTAAAAATGCATAAAGCAGCTGGAGCGGATGGAATTTTTGCAGAACTCTGGAAGATAGAGGTAGACCTAAGTGCCAGCTTACTACTTCCCCTCTTTAGGGAGATTTGGAATACGGGCAAGTTTCCTGATGAATAGATGACATCAATTATACTAAACTTCCCTAAAAATAAGTCCCCAAACTGCCTTAAAGATTACAGAGGTATTGCACTAATTCCAGTCACACTAAAAATGTTCACATACATCATATCAGTCAGGATTAAACCAATCATTAACAGATTCCTTTCTAATGCTATTACATCATACAGGAAGGGCAGAAATACTACGGAGTTGACCATGGCACTTAAGGTCATTCTGGAAAAGGCCAGAATGCATAAATCCCCCATTTTTGCCCTGATGATTGATTTAAGTCAAGCCTTTGACTCCATAATTCAGAATAAGATATGGCCCTTGCTGGAAAACATTGGAATAGATAAACATCTGATAGCGCTAATTAAGATAATTTACAACAATCATAGAGTAGTTCCTCAGCATTTAAATATGAAGTCGCAACCTTTTAAAGCAAATAGAGGCCTCAAACAAGGATGCATCCTTTCACCGATTATTTTTAATGTAATAATGAATGATATCCTAAATAAATCTTTTAAACAGGAATATGCACTCAACACATATTACAGTGAGCAACAACACCTCAATGATATGCACAACTCTTTAAACTTTCTATGTTATGCTGACGACGTATGCATTCTAGCCAACTCAGAATACAAATTAAGAAATATTTTATCATTATTTGTCAACAACTGTGATGGATATGGTCTAAGAGTAAACTACACAAAAACCAAACTAATCACCTCAAATACTGACGCTCACTTAAACCCCTTTAACTTTGAGGGTAATACGATAGAATTAGTGTCTGATTTTAAATACCTAGGAACCAGGATAACGTCATTAGGCCTCACCTTTTTAGACACGAATTCGAGAACGAAGAATGCGAGACTCCGCTATCATCAACTGTCGAAGTTATGGTCATCCAACCAAATATCAACTAATTTAAAAATAAGACTCTTCAAATCCCTAATTGTACCCATTTTTACCTACGGCCTGGAGACTTGGCAAGACTCAAAAAGTAACATCAGCACAATTCAAACTTTTATAAACAAATGCCTTAGAAGAATCACCAAAACGTATTACCCATACAACACATCAAATACAACGCTCTGGAATAGATGCGACATCCTACCAATCAATCGTCTCATACCCATGAGGAGACTAGAATTACTAGGCCATAGCTTAAGACACTCGCAGGAAAATATGATATTCTCGTCCTTGAAATGGTGCCCTGACGGTAGGAGGAAAACCCCTAAATACTATTGGTTGGCGAAATGTTTGAAAGATATGGACCTGATTAACCTCTCGTTTGCAATTTCATGGCACTTAGCAAAAACAAGAAACACCTAAAGGAACATTTACAATACATGCTAAAATATCGCCTAAATTAATATCGCAACCGTTTTTCACCTTTACGTTCTTACAATAAATGGAACAAGTGTATTTGATAATGATAATAACCTGAACAACAACAACATAACCTAACTTCCTCTAATAACCCACGACCTTCCTTTCTGGACACACGATATCGGCGACGATAACGATAACAATTAGCTGTATAACAGGCAATGGGAAGATAAACTGGCTATAATAATAACGCAATAAATCGGACGAACCCAAATACCATTGGCACAGAACATATAAGATCTACGGGACATACAATATTTTGGCACACCGAACAACAAACAAGGAAGAGACTCTACATGCAAACTTAACATAAACTCTCAATACTTAACAAGATATAAGGGTTATTTTTTTGTTGCCTCACTAAATACCACTTAAGGACGCAGGTACATTTTTTTTTTTATATGACATTATTTTTTATTTTTTCCTTAACACTATTCTGCCGGAAACGGAACTAATACATCACCATTATTGTACTTCTTCCTTCTTCACTTTGCTAACGGGCTACATAGTGGTACCGTCCACTATAATAAAACGGGTAGACATCATGTATGGGATCTATATACTAGTGAAAATACATGATGCACGCTTCAACTCCTGGTGGGTGATGAAATTGCACTTCGTGCAATTTCTGGCGTGGTAATGAATGAATGAATATTCCTAAATGGGTCCTTCAACATTATATTTAAAAAAAATACAATTAATGATTAATATAAATTATGCCTAATTTAAAAATGTCAGTTAGCAGTTGGATTTAAATATTGTATAGAATATAGATGAAAATAAATAAAAACATAATGAATATTATATTTTGGAAAAATTATATTGACTGATAATTGTTTTGTAACATTTTTGCCTGATAAGAAAGAGAATTTTGACTTAAATCTTAATCAAGCCGCTTTAAAAATTTACCTAAATAGCGCTTTATAACAAAAAAGCGCACAGTACCTATTTTTGATTTTTATAATCTCATCATGTAATTTGCAGTTATCCTATTTTCCGCATTTCAAAATCTTTATTTTTCTTTTTTCCCCCATGAATACAACTTTATCAAGTTAATAATATAAAATGTACGAATAAATTATATTTCTATTATAGCCTCTGTTGAAAAATATCCTGAAGTATTAAATTTGACAGACTAATAAATATATTTATGATAAAATTAAGAATTAATTAAATTAATTTGTGTAACAATAATCCTATTAATATTATATACAAAATAATTATTAAAAAAAATTTCATATAAATATCATTCCAAAAAGGCTTATGATGGTTGCTTAGATTGTGTTAGTTATGCAATTACCTGTACTTTTAATAGAAGAGGTACACTTTTAGCAGTTGGATGTAATGATGGTCGAATAATTATTTGGGATTTTATTACAAGGTGCATTGCCAAAATCATACAAGCTCATACTCACCCAGTTTGTTCTTTAAGGTATATAGATATTTATTTAAGTAGGATTTTTTTTATTCAATATATTTAAAATTTTTAATATTAATTATTCAAAATATAATTTTATATCTAATGCTTTTAATTGATATATTTTATTCAATACCAAAAGTGATATATCAGTTAAGCGATAAAATATATTTCTATCAGGCCCATATGTTTTATTAGTCATAAAATTTAACTTTAGTTAATTTTAATTTGATTTACTTAATATTTAGTTATAATAATTGCCTGGAATTATCAAACTGGATTCTGAAGAATTTTGAATTTGTTTTAAATTGTCCAACCTGGCTCATAAATATGTTTGGTCAAGTTGTCTGACTTGGCCCATAATAATTTTTTATCAATGAAAAAGGTTACAGGGCAAATGGCAATAATCAAAAAGCTAAAACATCCTAAATTTATAATTTTACTCATATATTAAAAATTATATAAATAAATAAAAAATATATATATTATATTACTTATTTATATATAATGTTTTTAGAGTTAGGGTGTATTATCAGTATCTGAAAGAATACTTGTATATATAAATCATTTTATTATATAATATTGGTTTTATTTTAGTTAGTAATCAAAACACTTTATTATTCAATTCATAAAAGCTGTGCATTTAAGATATTTATGTACCTAAGTTACAATCTGGGTATTAAATGAATGATAGTCTACATATAATATACAATAATTTTATAAATTATTAAAATGTAAATAATTTTATAAATATATAAATAATTTTATAAATTATTAAAATGTAAATAATTTTATAAATAATAAATAATTTTATTATTATATAATTATAATATTACAACTATTTTTTTATCTTGATATTATTATAGTATTTTATAAATTATATAATTTGTTTTAAATTATAAATGTACACATAAATATAATTTATATATTTGGGTTATTATATTACAACTTTATTTAAAACATTTCTAAATTATATTAAGGGAGTGGTGGAGGGTACCATTTAATGATCATAATTAAGGAGAATACTAATAAGAAGCAGTAGCTCCATGCCGGGTGGGGGGGGCAGCGTCTGCATGTCAGAATTTTCATTGGGTGCATATCCCCTCAAAGAAACTATGTCTAACCCTCGCCCCCAATTTTTGCCACCATTATTAATTACACCTTTTTAATTATAATAAACTTTCTATCAAAATATTGTGGATATAAAAGTGTTATTTTTCAATCATGAATTCAATTAAAAACCTCCACAATTCTTTTTGGCATGAGTATGAGTTTGCTGATAATGTCTAAACTTTTTAAATGTAGCAGAAAGTTTTATTTGGATGATAACATTTGATTGTTTGCAATGTACAGATTTGGTCGATCATCAGTAATATATATTAAAATAGGTCTATAATAAAAGGATAAATTTTTACAGCAATATATTTTTTCCTATTTTATCTAAAAATTAATAAATAATTTCCAAATAAATTTATCCTACCCCCAGGCGCCTACCCCTTACCCTCCTCAAAATATTGGATATGAACTGTTACTACCCCTCCCCATTCACGTAGATGCTTGGGGGGGGGGTAAATGTTTTAATATAGCCTTTAAGGATAGTAAGTAAAAAATAATTTAGGGTTGAGGTAGGAGGGAATTTTTTTCTCTTATGGACATAAAAGGAGCAAATCCTAATTTATTAGAAAAATTAAAACTAATTAAACTACAATTTTTCCTATCAAAATATCAAAAATAAATCGAATATTATAAGTTATGTATTAAATATTTTCATAGCCTGTTATACAATCTCCTCTCAAGATTCCCCTAATTTTTAGCTATGGCTACTCTATATAAATGGCGGTGCTAGCTACTAGTGCACTACTTTGAACAGCATAGCTTATGGTAAATAGCTATAAAAGTGACGAAACTTGTGAAACAATTTTAAAACATTTATCTCTTACTTGATTAATTAAAATTAAATCAGAATCTTCAGGAACATGTTCTTCCTTGCAAGTTGTGTAAATATCAGCTAACGAAACCCAATAGCGTGTATCAATAGTGATAAATTAAATGAATGTTGATAAATAATTACCAACATTTTTAAATAATATTAATAAAGTATGAAAATATTAACAAAGTAAAATAATTTATATATATATAAATTATTTTACTTTGTATATTAATATTATAACATTTTAAAATTTATAAATTATAATATATAAATCTTTTTAGTATTATAAAACTATTATTTTTCAATAATATTACACATATAATTTTTATATATTAATATTATAGTGTTTTATAAATTATTAGCATTCAATATTTATCTATTTCACCTATAATTTTTATATATTAATATTAGTTATCATAAAATTATAAAATATATATTTATATTTAAATTATCTCTATATTCTATGATTATTATATAATTATAAATATATATTTATTTATATTGAAATTTCAGAGTTTAATTCTTTTGAAAATTATAAAAATATAAATCTTGAAAAGGTCATATGATTATTATAATTTGTATATATATCATAAATTATTTTAATTGGTAAATATTTTAATTTATTTTAAATAATATTATAATTTATTTAAATTTGTGTTATATTATATTTTTGTAATTTATTATAATAATTATTTAAATTTATTATAATTATTATTAAAATTTATTATAATTATTATTTAAATTAATACTATAAATATTATTTTAGCTAATATTAAAATATTATTTTTTAAAATCTATAACATTCCTCTCTCTGAGAAATCCATTATTTTTGTTGTTCGCGATCGTCGAATATCTTATCGTGCAAATTCCTTCAAATATCCTGTAGGGATATGGAGTAAAACATATTTTTAAGGTGGGAGATAGGGAATATTTTTTTTCTCTCACTAAGACGCGGATAAGAAGCAAATTATAGTTTATTAAAAACTTAAAACTAAGTAAACTAAAATGTTTCCCTCTCAAAAATATATATAAATTATATTTAAAATTAAATATAAAAATAAATAGAATATCATGAGTTATGTATAAAATCACTTATTTTTTTAATTTAATTCTTATGTATAATAAATTAAGAGTAGAATTTTTACTTAATTTTAAAATACATATATACACCACTTTAACGTGTATTATTTTTAGGTTAATAATATAAACAACTACTTTATTACTGAAATATATAATATGCGCGAAAATTATATTTTTAAATTTATACTTTATATTAACATAATATAAAACAAAAGATTATGTAAATAAAATATATAATATATGTCAAAAGATTTATAAAAATATAAGAAAGCGCGATTTAAGATAGCAATATAATTAAATTAGATATTTTATCTAAAAAAACATATACATCCATATTTCGATCATAAAGGGAAGTAAGATTTGGTATTAAAATATTTAATTGAATATATTTGCGATTTTTTCGATTAACATTCAACCCGCTATTAATCTGAATTAATTTAATCTCAGAAGCGTGTTGATGTCTTTTTAAAATGTTAATTAAAGAATAAATGTTAGGATGGGCACAGTAACGTTTTGTGCTTTCGATGCTATGATGATAGCCCTCTAAATGGTTGATTTGTCCTAGGACCATTGACTTGATATCTAAATTATAAATTTATTTTGTATATATACATTAATAATTTTAAATACCTTGTCCATATGCTATGGGGAAATAAAGCATTAATGGAAAGCCATGTCAGATCCATATATTGCATAAAATTGTAATAGCAGAGGATTTTCAAGCTGACATGGCAAGACACGATGATCGTAACTTCTGGAGATATCTTCCTCCCGGCAAAAGGATAAGGTAGTCATACGTCTGACTACTTTGTGAACAGTAGAATTGCCCCTATATTCTACTGTTAAGCCTAATGCCTGACATTTTCGCCTATGGCTTGCGAAAAATGGAAGAAACAGCCTATAAAAACTTATAATCAATTTACGTAATAAATTAACCTTTAATCACCATAGTAGGAAAAACAAATCCTAGAGCTGCTATTGCAGCCGCCTCAAAATCAGTCTGCCCGTATCTAGGATTAAATATGATATTATTCTCGGCGCAGCACCTTAGAATAATTTGAAATAAATCTATATAGGTGGCTCTTGTTTTGTCGGGAAGGAGGGCATATACAATAGGTATCATTGTCTCCTGAGACAAGACGTGAATTGTATACAACTGGTAATATAGTCGTGGTACAACTTAAAATGTACCATCCATATATATTGTATCATTATCACACGTTTCTATGAGCTTTAACATGCTACATGTCCCAAATACCAATAGTTTATTATTATTATCATCATCATTATTAATTAAAAATATATCACCCCTATTTTGTGGTGATATATTCGGGGAATAAAACTATGCTATCTACGGATTGTGGCAAAGGTGGCCGAATTTTTTGTAATAATCGATCGATGGTACTTTTTAACGAAATAAATGAGGGCATCGCCTCCAGATAGAAATTTATATTTGGGGTTTCCAAAAATCTTTTATTTATGGCTTTCTCATAAATATTGTGCCTTGTTTCTAAAGGATTTTCGGCAACTATATCCTCTAGAACCTCATGAGTTCTTAACTTTTCAAAAATACCAAAAATAATATTTATAGGTGATAATGATCTCCCTTTAGAAGTAGCTCAAGTGTTAATAGATTTACATCAAAATATAAGTGGTAAAAATATGTTTATAAAAAGCTATTTATTTATTAAAATTAAATACAGAATGTCACATAATATAATAACATTAGATATTTAATACAGCTTAGTAATTTTTTAATAATTTTTTTACATAGCCCTGGAATGATTAAAAAATATTAACACATCTTCTTTAAAGATAAATAAGAAATGAATAATTATCTATTTGCTCCATTTATTTTTTTTAAGTATCTGGTTATGTCTGATCTTTTCATAAATATTAGAGTTCCTTATTGATATATGATTTTTATATTTATTAAGATCCCCGGTTTGTAAAATCTCAAAAAGGAAAACCGCTTCTTTTTTTTCAAGATTATTTGTATCGACAG